CTCTCTCTCTCTCTCTCTCTCTCTCTCTCTCTCTCTCCATATACATACACGATTTCACGGGGAAAAGAAAATTAATAGAGTACAGAGGAAGACTTGACCAGTTCTGAATCACTGTACGCCTTGCGTGCTTTGTCAGAACAATCCAGGACCTGGAATTCTAATACATTGATATTCCACTGATAAACTTGGCCGTGAGAGAGTATGCTAGATGCGGGTCACAGCGCTTATGTCCCATTTCTACAGTAATGATAATGGCAATGCCAGTGCTGGCTAAGAGAAAGGATCCCTATCTGTGTTACAGTACTGCACTGACTGAAAGTGCAAGGAACACAAGCAATAGAAACAAGTTTGAAATACAAATTTAAACTAAAGGCACCACACAGTGAAATTTTCCACAGGTGGGGACGACGACCCGGTTTCTTGTACCAGTCGTATCACTTCCTAGAAGAAACAAACTTTTCAGTAGCTTGATGAAAATATGGAAAACCGATTATGAAATACTTGAGTTATATATATATGTTTGTGACGATATATATATATATATACATACATAATACATAACTCAAGTACTATTCGTACCACATGCAACTGAGTTACGTCGACTAGTTGTCGGCTCTCTGCACATCCGCTCCGTTGCAATGATGATGACGATGATGTTTCAAACACGAAGCAGTCCTGGACTAAGTCTTTGAGTTTGGCCCCTGCCTTTCTCCCAGACGACAAGCCTGCTACCTATCTCAGCCGCCGGAGTCGCCCTCTCGGGGTTTTGGTTGAGATGACCAAGAAATAAACAGCCACCTCAACACATGCTACCAACCCTAGGTCATCACTAATTGAATACCAATATCTACCTGAATAGCTCAACAGGGAAGGGGAAAAAAAAAAAAAAAAAAAAAAGGTTGTCAAGAAGCAAGCCACCATAAAAGGATTTAAAGGAACCAATTAACTACACTACAAGCCAAGCTCTCGTCCTGGGGCGCGCTCAGCTGTTTTTCAAGTGAGAACGTCATTTGCGCATGCATTCGGGGGCCCGGTACTGATACAGATGCGGCTCCTCCGATTCTCCGATTCTGTCGCCGTCGCTAGCGCTGGTCTTAACATATAAGACAAGAAATCGGGTCGTTCCCAGACGCTTGAGTACGACGAGTCGGACGCGCAGGCACATAACAAGTCTGTAGGTCCGAGAGGAGAAAAGAATAGCAGACAGATTTTCCGCATGTTTGAAAACGAAGTGGAGGGGCTCAACTGCCACATGACGGGGCCGAAAAATCATAAATGTCTAAGCGTAGACGAGTGGCTGCAGCTGTGCCTCATTTTGGCATCATTCGGGTACTACACTACGGATGCGTCTCCTTCCCTTCCATCGTCGCTGCTAGCAGTAAAGACAAGAAGCTGCCGTACTTTGTCTTTCATTCAGCTCATTCCCAGCCACTTGATTACTTGCTCCGGGAACATGACGAGTGTCGAGTTCCAATTCAAAATCTTCTGAGGAAAAGGGAATAGAACGGACTAAGTCTTTCCGCATGACACTGCTTGAAAACAAGCGGAGAAGCTCGCCGCAGGACAGGACTCCAAAACTCTCCCTACATAGTTCGTGTTGCCGCGGTTGGTTGAGCCACCTCAACACAGGAAGACAAGGAGCTTTGTGGCTGCTTCATCGTCCAGTCGTGCCATCCCGTGCTCAAGGTATAGGATACATACATGCAAGGAAAGCGGCCCGCATCCTGGTTTTTTTGCTACATTTGAGAGCCAACTTTATACAAGTCTTTCAAATTCAATTTGGCATTATCGCCAAAAAAAAAGCGTTTTCCGAAAGAGGAAAAGTGTCAGGCCCTGAAGAGGTTGCTCCTAGCCTCCTAGAACTCTTGACTACAGCAGCATGCTGGCATGCTGGCTGGCATGCTCAAGGGTCCTCCGACTCCTCCTCTCTGGTCAACGATGCAATTGGGGTATACTTTATGTGTGCAGAGTCAAGATCGCACATTGTCAAAGGAAAAGACTCTTGAGTTTCCCTTGCTTAGCTTGTGTGACCGGACCAAGTTCGATTCGATGCTGAAGCCATCCATGGCACAAAATGTGCAGATTGCAAGGCATTGCGTGATTTCCCACATCAGCTTGTAGCACGGCGCAGATCAGATTATGAGTCATGTCGATGCTGAAGCCATCCATGGCACAAACTGTGCAGCAGCTTGAGCCTTGTGGCACGGCGCAGAAAATAGATCAGCTAATGAATGAGTCATCAAGTACTGAGCATCAAGGACTGCTTGGGCTGCCTTGTTGTCGACATGATAGCCCAACTTGAAGGCAACCACCTTCTCCCACAGCGGAAACATGTGCACGCCCGTCGTCACACTGAGTACCAAAACTTAGAAGTGGAAGGCAAAGAGGCGGAAGTATCTTCGACTTCAACTGCATCCCCTTTTCCTCTAGCTTTTCCCTGAGGCTGAGAGTCCCTGCCCTTCTTCGGAAAGTCCGTTTTGGTAACCTCCCCCCTTTTGTCTCCAAAGGCATCATCTGCAGCTGGGCTGTCTTTGAATAGAGGAGTTGCTTCGCATGCTCATACACGCAGAAGAAGATTGCTGTGGTTGGGAAAACAAGGAGCGTCCGCGGAACCAGTCCCGCATACACCGCCCCTATCCCCTCGTGCGCTACAATATGCTCCAGCGCATGAGCCACGCCCCTGTAGTTGATGTTCGTCTGCAGGCGAGTCTTCACAACTGGTAAAATTTGAAGCAGAGTCCAGCATGAGAGTAACACATAAAAAGTTATTAAAAACAGGTCACAGCAATGATTAATAATTTGACACCGCCCATGCAAACAGACGTCCACTGTCAGACAGACAGGAAGGAACACAAAGGAGATGGCAACAGGACATGTGGCAAGGAAGATACACAAAAAGCACACGCACTCGAACACTTCAATGCTTTTATTTGATTCATTAACTGGCCAAAAAGACTCCGAGTACCAAAGACAAGGGAAAGCAGGGACTTGTCCTTGAACCGCTGACTTGATTGGTCCACTGGCAGATAGTAAAGGCTAGGGAATGCAAGGAAAAGCCCTTAAACAATGCTTGCAGAAACTCTCTCTCTCTCTCTCTCTCTCTCTCTCTCTCTCTCTCTCTCTCTCTCTCTCTCTCTCTCTCT